GGAAATCTTAAATCAGAGAAAATTACATCTTTTTTGGTGTTGAAATCATGCTTCAGCATCCTTCGGCAGATTGTTGGGCTATTCTTGCCACAGCTTGACTTAGAGATATGTCTTTCCAGTGAATTTATATTATGTTGTCCAAAATAAACACCATATGATTTGTGATACATTAGATGTGCTAATGTTGGGAGTGGAACCAATTAGTCTAAGATTAGGATGAAATTGATTGTATATGAAGACACTCCTTATGGCGGCTTTTTTTCTTTCATTTGCACTCAACCCTCGGGCAATGACGGATCGTACTCTACACGCTCACGTGAATGCAAGATAGCACATGTTGACTGTTAATTGTTTGCTACTCAGTGAGAGTGACTCTGACAACATCACACGCATACCTTTCATGCACCGCTCTCTCTCCTTCTTTCACCACCTATGCGCTCATACACAGCTTCCTATTCTCCATTCTGAAAGAGTAGTCAGATAATGGGTTCATGACCTAATCTTCATTATAACAGATGCATATCTGTAGATTATTACTGAGCTGTGACTTTAGTGTTGAGCTTTGGTTTTAGTGTGGATTACATGTTGCACGTTGGAGTTTAAGTATGGTGTCTTGAAGGGAAATTACATTTTCTTTTTTTCTTTATAGCTGAAGGTGTAGCCACTTAACTTTGCATCAAGTGTGATGGGATAAAGAATGGAACAGATTTGCTGTAATGGCATGCATAAACCACATCTAAAACAGTCCTCCATCTTGACACTGTGACTCCCAACTGGATCATTTATAGTAAATTTGCAGATCCTCTGCAGTAGTTGCACTCTGAGGCTAATGACTCTTGGAGCTTCTATGTCTATTTCTAGTGAATCCACCCCAGAGGCTACATCGCACCAGACCCCCAACTGATTATATGTGACACTGCTGAGAACATTTGATTTATGGCTGTTTTGTTCTTGTTGTACTTGGACACTCTGCTCCATCCCACCAGTGAGAGTTGCAGGAATTCTTGTCAACACAGAGAAAAAAAACAAAACAATTGAAAGATACATTTGAGATTGCTGTGTATTACTTTTGGCAAATGGGGTTAAATGAGCTTATTTCTTCATACCAGCACAAATCAGTTAATGTTCAAGTACATGGACACCAAACTTTGTGCATCCATACAAATATATTAATCCTGTTCCTTGTATGCTCAGAGGTTGCAGGTTATTTTGGCACTTTTGATTTTGATTATGTTACCCTTTGACTTGGTTATTGTTTATTCATATATGACTCTGTTCAAGAGTATATCTATTATAATGCATGTAACCCTTTGTCCTGTTTCTTCATGTGCTCTGTGTAATGTTTAGACTTCACTGTGCAGCCGAGGACATGACATCATTAATAAACTACCATCACCTGTTTACCTGTCCGCAGAACTCAGGAATGTGGAACTGTGTTAGAGTGATGCTCCAACAGGGATAGAACTAAACTGCTTCTTCTCTTCTGGGCTCTTTCGGACTTTCACATACGAGAGTGTGACGGTTGCGTTGAGACCATTCATGGATGACTTGAATAAAACCTTACAGAAAGACAAGATCATACTTTGTATGCTTTATTAAACAAATTGCTACCACAATACTTACGCCTATTTTCCAGATGTATTTATGTCTCTGTTCATGTTTAATCAAATAAAAACCACAATCACAGTATAGTGTGTGGTGAAATTCTTTAGTGCTTAGCTCCAGAAACAGGAACATTTAAATAAAAGAAAACAATGGTACAAAATTAACCATAGGCAGCCATTGGGAACACCGGGTAAAATCCGGTGGGCCGCTCGCTCTGTGGGCCACCTTAAGCAGCCCATTACACAAAAACAAGAGGGATAGAGATGCCTTGTTGGGCTACATTGATTATGCACCAGCCCACATCCTCCTCCTCGAGATCCTCAGTACCAGTTCAACTCTCAGTCAAGGTTTTGCAGCTGAAGCTGAGAGACAGAAGGGTGAGACAAGTTTTGGTTGGCTGGTGATTTAGCTATAAAATTAAACCGTGCGTGGATGGTTAGGATTACTATTTAACATGAACAAAAAGTCCATCCCTAGTATAAAAAATATAAACATTATAAACGGTGTAAACCACACATTCACCGGCTTTATATAATGTATGGCAGGTCGATGGATTATAACTCCCCCTCATCCTCTCTCTTTTGGTCTTCGGGCAGCAGTAACGCTTCCCTGACAGCTGCAACCGAGATAATATTTTGTTGTTAGGGTGACTGAGGTCTCTGATAATCCTCTCAGTCTTCCTTAGCCTGGTGTAAATGTCCTGTAAGTCAGTGAGAAGACATCTGGTGGTGCGTTCAGCTGACCGTACCACCCTTGGCAGTCCCTGTTGGTGCTGTTTGGTGCTTTGTTTGTCAGGTAGTGATGCTGTCTGCATCAGATTCTCTTCCATGCAGTTATTACACTTGGTATGGAAACATCTGTATTATATTTTTAGCCAAATATAAAGGCTATTGGATTGAGGCAGATTTGTATTGTCGTTTGCACATGGAGTCCAAGTAATGAAGACCCCTGTGAAATGGAGCTCTCTGAGTGCACTCTCTCATGGTTGTAAATATTTGTCCACCACTTTTGGAGAAGTGCGACACGCTGATCATGTTTCAAGGGTAAAAACTGTCCTTTTTTCTGTCTGTGTGACTCTCTTACAGTACACTCTTGCCTCCTCCCCCTCATATCTGTCTCTTATAGCTCTGATAGATGTCTGACCATGACAGCCTATAGTGTAGATCTAAGGCTCCACAGCAGAAACCTTTTAACTTTATTAAACTGTCACACAACCATTCTTCATGTAGCTCACAGGCATTGAGGGTTTTAACATGGTGGCTAGAGGACTATATCTCTCCCTCTCCTGGTTCACCTTGTCTCCATTTCTGCGTCGTAATGTCATAATGGCAGTGTGTAAAAAAACATATAGGTTAATATTCAGTACAAATTCAATTAAGCCAGATTTTAAACCCCGGAATTGGGCAAGACATTTTCAGCAGCTTTTTATTCTTGGTAGCAGATGTCATACTAGTTTAAATTTTGTTGTCACCTCATCCAGAATGGCCAGCATGCATTCTTTCATGGTTTGGGAGTCTCTCTGGCTTTTCCTCTTTGTCAAAATCTAGGATACACAAAAGGAAGCTGATGTAGCTCTTTGGTCTGTGCATGACCGCACATATTTGACTGTCATTACAAATTTGACCTCCTTCAGAAAATAGTTAAAATAGCCAAACAAACACTGTGTTCACAAATAAAAAAACACAACAAACACTTAGACACAGAGGAGCCTAGCGTTAGATGCCGTTACAGGCCGGAACGAACTGAGACAAAACACAACTGTAATGACTTAATGTATTAATGTGCCAAATTCACAAGAGGGGATGAATGATAAATAAATCGATGTAGATAGTGTTTCACAGAGTTTATAAAGTTTCTTCTAACTTTTAATACTTGAGTTAGAGTTGTAATTATTGTAGTGTTTAGATATTGTAGTTATTACCACCAATAATACATTATATAGTATTTTTCTCTTTATCCCTCTGTCTCTCTCGTGTCAACAATGTCCACATATGTTTAATAACTATGTGTGCTGCTTTTATATTATATTGTATTGTTTGCAAGCATATATTTTATTATTATTATTATTATTATTATTATTATTATTATTATTATTAGTAGTAGTAGTAGTAGTATGGCCTTGAGATGTTGCCTGGACTCTGACCTAAGGTCTGTCTAATGAAATGAAGACCGTGTTTAAATTACAATGTGTTTTTGGTATACTTCACTTCATAGCAAACATTCATGCCCACCCTTTATAGACCAGCACCGAATCGCTTCTCTGCCACACTCGAGCGTATCACCTCCGAACCGGGTAATCATGCTCCCGCACCCGCAAATACTCCTGTTTCTCAACGTTTTTACTCGACTATACTTCCACACTACTCCCTCTTTGCTCTGGCACCACGTCAGCGCAGGCGCCCTCCAAACTAAATTCTTGCTTAGGCCGCCTTCTTGCTTCGCATGGTCATCCCACCAGGACCGTTCTGGAGTCATGATCCAGGTATGAGGAGCATCCTCCTTCAGCACACACGCCACGCGGAAACACCGGCAGCTGTGTGGCAGCAGGGTTGTGTACTAGTCTCTGAGTCGTGCTTCTTTGCTGCAACACCTCGCGCACCCAACCGCGTCCTCTCGATATGGCGTTTTTACATGTACACACGTCCACATCTCGCCACCCCCACCTCGAACACTCCCTCGTCTCTTCTGAGGCAAAAACACAACACCACCGTACTCTCGAGGGCTCAACAACTCCAACTCTTCTGCCTTCGGATTTACATTCACACTCGCAACTCTTTTGCGCCGAATCTCTACATTCACTCGCACACTCGTTTCGCTTTTGCTTACGCCTCTACCTCTCCGCATCGCTATCGCCTGTCAGCATCGCCCTGCACCAGGGGGGCGTCTGGGTCTCCGTATCGCCACCTCGCTCGGCTGGATCTGTACGCTGCGACGCTGCGTCGCACACTCACACACGCAACAGCACCACCCACCTGCTGCGCCGCAGAGGCTGAGCTGCATAACTCTGTCGACTTCCTCGCACTGCACTCGCTCACTTCACTCCACATCCTTTAGCTGTCTCCTTTAACATGTCACCAACAACACGCACGGCGTCACAGTTCCAAGGTCCAACTCTCCAGCTTTCTACAATGGTCTTCCCTCCACCTCTAACTAGCACAGGGATTGAATTTGTTTTGATCCTGTGTACCCTGTGTTTATTTGCTTAATGCCCACTTCATACATGCATCACATCATCAACGCCCATCACATCCATGTTGCGCTCACCCACGCTCTACCCGGGTATCACCAGTTGGGAAACACACTTGCCTTCCTTCCTTCCCGTTCTGCAGGCATAACATCACATGACTTGACCTGTTGGGCCAATACTGGAAGGCCCTTGAGTGGGCCCGGGCCCCATGAAGGCTGCGCGGCCCCGCACCCCCGAGACGCGCTCCGGCGCCATTTACATCACCACCAAGCAAGTGCTTATCTTTAGACCCAAATACATACTGGGATGTGTGGACAGTTTGGGGCCAATGATGGGACAGGCGCGGCGCGCGTGAACTTCCTTTGATTAATCTGTATCGTTCCAGTAATACAGTAGTTCATGTACACACCCGCCCCTGTCAAAAAGAATATATAAGATTATATATACAGAAAAGAGAGAGAAATGAATTCTTATCACATGAAGATATATAATATATAGAGATATATATATAAAACCACACCCCCCCTGAATTTCCTGACTAGGACCTGGAAAGACACACCGGGACGACAAAGGAACATCCGCTGTTCTCACTGGCGGCGACGGATTCCATCTTAACATATTAGAGTTTCTGCAGGACTTGTTACCGCCTTGTCTACTTCCCCACACTTTCCTGGTCAGACAAAGTCCTCCCCCCAGAATTAAGAGCGCACCCAACGAGCATGTTGCGCCCCGTGTCAGCCCATGCTAACTGTGTCTTCCTGATGGTGTCAACCTTCCTAATCTTGGCAAAGCTCGTCAACCAAGCATCTCAACCATCCATCTCTAACCTCTCCAAAACCAACGAGGCCGAACCTCTTTTTTTTCCTTTTTTATTCAACATGGTGAACTATTCTTTAAACTGTATCTGTCCACCAGCATCCTCTTAAAGGACAGGCTCCACATTGTATGTTTCTGAATGGCGAAGGATCAGACCATCAAGTTATAGACCAGTGTACCAGTCGCTTGCTGTATACTGATCACCACGCATTCTTAGCTTAAAATTTGTATTTGAAGTCTAAAGCGAACAAATTCAGGACAACCTGCGCAACCATAGAAACCCATGAGCTATCACATCCATCCGGTCCATAGCATTGCTCGTAACCAATTGCCGTAAACCTTGTAGGGCGGAAACTCCTAACAGGCTCAGTCGCCTTGAATGCAAATATATGCAGGAGTGCATGAACTGTGGCCACAAACAGACACTGTTCGTGCTGACCGCCGAAG